TTATTAGTAACAACTTTCAATTTTATAGTAAATTTTTAAAATCATGTGTTGATCATATGAAAATTGATCTACATACCATCTACCCTTAAATGATATTGCGGCAAAAAAAATCAAGTATTATTATATAAGATTATGTAAAATTTATTTCTTGGTTTTATAATCTGAATTAGTTTAATGCAAGTATTTTTTTAATTTTAATAAAATTAAAATCTCAGATTATCGATTACTTTTTAAAAATTTATATTATGAAACCAGGAAATTAATTTTGAGAAAAATCTAAATTTATACTTTTTTTATTTATTATTAGAACTAGCACAGACTGTGATTGAACAATACGAATTTTGTCGAGTTCATAGAAAAGAAGAAATAATTATTTCTTATAAGATTGAAAAAGGATATCCATTACATATAGATTTTACAATACTACCTAATTGGATTAAAAGTTTGAAAGATGAGCTGCTGAAAATTATAAAAGGACAACAGTATAGTGAATATCATGTAGATGCAGTTAAAAGAATTCAAGAAATGGAAGAATCAAAAGCCAATAGCTCATTACTACAAATTAACTATTGCGAGTCATCTTAAGTAAGTTGAAAATTAAAATATCAAATCTTAAATACTTTGATAAAAAGTCAATGTTAAATTTTTTATAAATTTAAATTTTATTTTTTAGCCTGGATATTATGGAACCAAAGGTCTAGCCATTATCTTAAAAACTTTGACTGAAATGTTTGTTCAATCTAAAATTTTAACCACAAATCTTTGCATACCACAATTACTATCTCAATACTTAGCTCAAGTTTTAGTACCAAAAACTGCTATTAGACTTATTGCAGAGGACTTTAATAATATTTTTTTAGATATGGCAAAAAAAATTATAATTGATAGTATTGAATTTAGACTAAATGTTCATGATAATGATGATAATACTGAAAAATAATTAATATTTCAGTAAATAAATAATTATGAAATGAAATATTAAGCTTGATATAAAACTTCGTAACATATTATATTTGATTTAATTAAAGTGTATACAGGCATATCCCCTAAGTGCAAGTCTATATAAAACCTGGTTTCAACTTATAAGAGCCTTATATATTTTATCTTCCATAAGTGCAAATCCCATTTAAGTGCATTTTTTTCACTATAGTCCCAATAGGATGCACTTAGGGAGGTGCAACTATATTTATTAATAAATGCATTAAATTCTAGTTAAAAAAATTGTATTTAATCCGATAATCGAATCTTTTTCTTTCTAATACATTTGATAAATTATCTTAACAACAAATTGGCTAACAGATAATGTAAAAATCATAATTGCATATAAAGTTTTTGATTTTTATATTAAAATTTTACAAGATAGAAATGCAAAAAACATTATTGAACAAAAATATATTTGTCTATTACAAACTATGTTTATTTGAATTCAACTTAATTGATGATTCTCCAGTCAACTGAAGAATAAACATAGTAAATCATGACTCAATTTATTATATAAATCTAATATAGGCCAAATATGAAATTGCTTCAAGGTAAACTTTTTTTTGTACTAAGTTAATCGATTTTGTTAATTAATTGAAAGTTATAAAGCTCATCTTTGCGGTTTTAATAGTAGTTAAAATGTTAAAATCAGTTTAGTAGATGCTAAGATATCTTTAAAAAATGTTTCTTTTACTATATAAACTTCTTTGCAAACAATAGTCAAACAATAGTATCATTTGCAAAGAAGTTTATATAGTAAAAGAAATGTTTTTTAAAGACATCTTAATATCCACCAGGCTGATTTTAACATTTTAACCACTATTAAAACTGCAAAGATGAGCTTTATAACTTTTAATTAATTGATAAGATTGATTAACTTAGTACAAAAAAAAGTTTACTTTGGAGCAATTTTATATTCAGCCTATATTAAATTTATATAGTAAACTGA